AGAGGCCAGCGCCCGCGCCGGCCCAGTGCTTGACGTCGGCACCGAAAACTCCTCCTACACTTCATCCGAGCTGTCCGAGAGTGAAGAGATCGCACTGCCACTGCCTCCCTCGGCGTGAGCACCTTACTGTAGCAGGTCGCACTCCAGGGTTGATCTCGGGTAGTTCAGTAGCCTCCTTGAGTAGCCTCAGGAAAGTGGCTGTGCCGGTCGCTGCAAATAGCGCCCCCAAGGCAAAGAGTTGAACGCCGCTTCGAGGGCGTGCAATTTGATGATTGTCGGATACGCATTTGGTACACGCTTCCTTCGGTTCATGTTCTTCTCCAGGCTGCAGCTGCCGCGGCCAAGTTCAGAGCACAGATAAACGATGGGAATGCACAAGAGTCTTCGCAAGGCGGCTTGCAAAGTGCTCTGCTGCATCGCTGCATGCAGCGATACCGAGGCCAGCAGTTGTTGTCAGGAAGGTGGCAAGCAGCAGCAGCGCCGAAGCCTCAAAAACAGTTCATCGATACATCTCAAGGGCGACCAAGGCTTGGCTTAGCCGAGCTTCTTTAACGCATTGTCAAGGGCCCAAGCCGTTATCCGACTGATACTCGCTTCTGCCTGTTCTACACGCTGTCAAGCCGTGAATACTTGACACATGTTTCGCCCTTCAGCTGGAGATCGTGCGTGCTTCGCCTGAGATGCGATACGCCCTAAAGTTTTGAATTTCTACGCACGGACTGGGCCGTTTTCTCCAAAAAGCACAGTTGTTTTGAGTCCGAACGACGACGCCGGGGGAGAGGTGAGGGCTAAGACCCCAAAACCTACCCAGGAGGCCGTTGTTTTTCAGTGGTTCACGAGGTTGTCTTGCAAAGAGCCCATGGTTTTATTCTTGTTTTTGGGCACCGCAGGGGAAAAACCAAGTTTTTTTTAATTCTTCGGCCAAAAACCACGACTCCCCGGGGCTCAACAACCAAAAAAAGGCATATTGTTGTTTTGGTTGATGCAACTCAACACATATCGCGAGACAACCAAAAAGTAAATCGAAACAAAAAGAGACCTGGGCTCCATTTTTGCTTCGGGGTTAAGTTTTGGATGTAAGGGCAGGGTTCCTAACCATCCTATGTGTTTTTCCCCACCCTCTGTGTGGGGTTGTTAGGTTTTAAACTCAACTCTTCTCCTCGCCCGGAACTCTTCTCCTCGCCCCAGCCTACTCCTCGCTCATCCCTACCCCAATGTGTCCCTGGAGTTCCCAACTCTAGAATGTTCTTGGAGTAACCCGAGAGTCTCCCTGGAGTGCCCAACTTTAGAGCGTTCTTGGAGTGCCCAACCCCAGAGTGTCCACGGAGTGCGCAGCCCCAGAGTCTCCCTGGAGTGCCCAACCCCAGGGTATCTCTGCCAAGAGAGGGTGGGGATGTTCGAAGTAAAATTTTTTTAGTTTTACACTCTCTTCTACTCATCTTATAGTTGCACCTGCGAAGGAGGTAAGCAGCTCCGACTCCGAAGCCGAAGCTCCCGTCGCCGCGGCCCCTGCAGGCCTGCCCGTGCTCTTTGGGGGGGGGGGGGGGGGGGGGGGGAAGGGTTTTTTTTAGGGTTTAGGGTTAGGGTTTAGGGTTTAGGGTTTAGGGATTCCCGCCAAACAGGCTTCAAGCATGTCAAAGTGATGGCACCAAAACCACCCCATCAGGATCTTGACATCTTGTTTGGGTTTGATGCTTCTCACGGAACGTCCAGGAGTCAGACTTTCCCCGTCGATCTCGCCAGCCAGACTGCGAGAGGCCATGTTGAACACAAGCAAACACCAGCACGACATGGGTAGTTGTCTAAACTATGGTGCTCTTCTTGGGTTCCTGTTCTGAGACAGAGCTTTATGCATGGGGAGCTGCGGTGACCGTTTTGGATGCTTCTTCATGGGAGGTCATGGTCGGCAAGCGAAACGTCGTTGGATCCCAAGGTTAGGCAGGTAGAGGCTTCCCCCCTTCTAGCTGGATGACCAACCAAGGACAGAGCCATTCTGGATCGCTATCATCAGGTACCGCGCTCATCGAAACAACACTAGGGCAGCTATTGAATCAGGCAAGCTCATGCTCTAGGTGACATCAGTGATACATTCTGGTCAACTGAGGTGTTTTGCAGTTGAGGAAGTTCTAACTGATCACCGGAGCATAGCGATGACCAGCTCAGACGGGCACCAAAAATGTGGCATGGGAAGCATGGAGCGGCAGAGCATTGAGCATTGAGCCAAAGTGGTTCTGAAAGGGTGGCATGAGCGTGTCATGCGGCTGCAGCATCAAACCTGCAGAAAAAGAGTCTAGTGGAGAAGGCACACATGTATGCTGTGCGTTGTCGTCGGCAGGTTCGTAGGCTTGTCATGATTTGCCTGGTTTCGTAATGTCATGAAATGGGGAAGTTTGCCGCAGTGGAGGTTCAGCCAAGTACTGTACCTTAGCTGCGGAGGGGGGGAGGGGAAGAAGAGCAAGCTTTTTGCGCATTCCTTAGCCTTGATGGCATGTGCCCCGATGCTATGACTGCGCTGTCGTTGGTGCAACAGTCAGTGGCGTCCTCTCCCAGCTGTCCAGCCCTCCGCTTCCTCACCACAGAGAGAACACTTGGATGCTTGACCTACCACCAGGCGCAGCTGCTAGCCGCTACTCGTAGCATTCGCTTGAGCTAGGCTTGATTTTGGTGCAATGCTTGGGCTGGGAAGGTGTGGCAGCTGAGTGGCCTCATCGCTGAGCGTTTGCGGGGAAACGTGCTTGGTGTCGCAATCGACGATGGCCCGTACCTTGCCCTGGCGGAGCTCGCGGGATGGAGAAGGCTCCCCCGCGATGTTGAGACAGTGTAATAAATTGTGTTATCGCCCCTCTCTATTTCCTGTATCTCCTGGCGCAGGGGCATGGTGTTGGTGCCACTCGACCCGCATGACCCGGTCTCTCGCCTCTGTCATGTGGTGCAAGAGTCTCAAGCGAGCTGCCTGGTGGCCAAAGACTGGGGCGATGCGAAGAAGCTTGCATATCAATCTGAAATCGTTTTGTTTTCTCTCACAGGATTCTAGCCTCGACTCTTCGGCCGTAGAAGCTTGCAGATGCTTGCCGCATCTTTTTCCAGGAAGGTTGCAGAGGCTGGCCCAGTATTGGACCTCAGCTCTGAAGTCCCCTTGACTTCCGTCGCCTGTGCTGACCAGCTCGAGTTCGAAGTTTCGCTAGATCCGGCTTCTCCAGCCTACATGCGCCTTGCCATATGACATAATATGACTCGTGATTCTGCGAGGCTTGCCAATCGGCTTTTGTTGAAACGAAGGGCTGCACTGAATTGAGGTGGTTCACAAGTGGGTCGACTGGCCAGCCGAAAGGTGTTCTCATCTCCCATCAGGCATTCCACAACTGGTGTCTCGCACGACGTTGATCACTTATGCGAAGCATGCAAGACTAGTGGTGGTGATGTCAGCTCAGACATCCGCTGTGCATGTGTGCTTGGAGTTTCAGGTGCAGGGTTAAGAACCCACCACAAGCTATAACCGCCTCCAGCACGGTGCTGATTGCATCAGCTTCTACGTTTGATCCGTCTATCGGTTTCTTGGCTTGTGAGTCCATAATGGCGGGCCTGGGATTCAATTTTGCCTCCGCTGGAAGAGCTCAGGCGACATCTTTGCTACCTGGGCCGTCAGCGCTACAGTGGCAGTGGCACCCCGTATGCTCTTCTTTGCTAACCTGGGCTGGGCTATCGACCGCTTGGAAGTCACTCATGTCACATGCACTCCGTCTCTCTGGCAATCTCTTGAGCCCTTCATCTGCAGAGAGGGCGCAAAGCACATCAATGCAGAGATAGCTTGTTGGACCGGAGTTTATAAGGTTTCCAAAAGGTTGCGGGTGGGGGCAGAATGGTGCGCTGCAGCTTTGACACGGGATGCTAGCAATTGATTTTCCCCTAACAGTTACTCTGTCAGCAGAGAAGAATGTGTGTGTGTGTGCTGAGCATATGTTCGAACCATCGTGGGATCCTTCGCCTCCACAATTGGTGGATGTTGACAGTTGTCTTCGTCTTCCGAAACCAAAACAGGCAGTGGATTTCAGGGGCGTGTGCACGCGTGCAGGTGCCTGCATATTTCTTCTTGTTGTTGCCAGTCTTTCTTTGTATCTTTTTCTAAATTGGCACAGGGTTCAATCTGCAGACCGACGACACGGAGGAAGGGTCCTGGCTCATTGCTCGCATGGGGGACGGAACCCCGCCACACTTTGATGCCAAAACACTGGAGGGCGTGCTCTGCTCATACAGAGGCACTGTTGGTTCACGCATGCACTTGAAGTCGAACCCGGACGAAAGCAACAAACATGGGGCTACAGTACCCTGTCTATCCACGAGGGCGTGTGCCCGCAAGCAGGACGTGTTTGCTTGACCCATGCCCACTGCATCAAGACAGACGGAGATCCAAGTTTCTTTCATGGGTGCGTGCACTGTGCACTGAGTACATCTGTCAGGAATGGCATGGACTTGCCGTCCCTCACAACAGTTTGCCTTGGCGGCGAGCGCTCACCACAGCCCCTGCTTGACCAATGGGCGGCGAAGCTTCAACTGCTGAATACCTACGGTACGACAGAGTGCGGCTTGACAGAGAAGGTTGCACAGCGTGTTTTCCTGCATTTTTTTGTTTTCTTGACCATCTGTAACGTGTAGTGTATATTTCACGCAGGCACCGTTTGGCAGACGCTCCGCCGTATGCTGCCTGGAGATCGAGCCACACTGGTCGGTCGCCCATACCCCGGCAATGAGGTATGGATCCTTGCCGCCCGGCAGTGGCATAGTCGGTTGCGTGGCGCAGTTGCTGTCAAACCTGACCCCTCCTGCTATGCTTTGAGGAACGCGACGGGACAGCTTTGCAGAAAGATGAGGAAGTCGGTGAGATTGTTCAGGGTGGGATCCAGGTGGGCATCGGCATCTCGGCACAACTAAGCTCGCAACCAATCAAGACACAGAAAGGTCCTTCACTCGCTGCATCTTGCCCAGTGTCAAGGATACCACAACCGGCCGGAGCTTACAGCTGCCAAGTTCGTTGAGCTTCCCGGCTGTATCGGGAGATGGTATCGAACGGGAGACGGCGGGCGGATCTTGAATGGAGAGCTGGAGGTTATGGGCAGGTTCGACAACCAGGTGAAGATCCGCGGCATGCGTGTGGAGCTTGGCGAGATTGAATCTGCGGTCGTGCAGACTTCGTCTGGAATAGTTGCCAACTGCGCAGTGCAGCTTCGCGATAGCTTTCTGGTGGCCTACTGCCAGGACAGGGCACGTTACGCATCATAAGCTAAAGTCCACCAAGACGATGCACCATCCCTCATCAGCGATGTTGGCCACCTAGTTTGAGGTATTCAGAGGTTGCGCACGGGACATGGACAGGTATCCGCCGACGCTGCAGTGATGATGCATGAGCCGTACTGCCTCTCACCTGCAGTAAATTGAGAGCCATCTTGCCCTGGCCTGGCAATAATGCATCTCGGTCATCTTTCGATCGCCCCTGAACATTGTTCCAACTAGGCATTCTGCCGGTGGTCAGCGATTTCCTCCTGCAGCGCTCCAGCACAGAATTGCCACGCCACATGATTCCAAGTCGCTTCGTGCTTATGCAGCGGCTCCCCCTCACTCCGAATGGGACCCTCAGCAAGAGTCAACACGCTGGGCACAGCCGTTCTGAGCGTGTGTTTCTCTGTCTGAGCACGCGCCTTGTGCCTACGACCTTGAAAAAACTTAAGTCAGGAAGGTGGATTCCAAAGCCTTGCCGGACAGCGTGGATGTGGCCTCGACGTCCTCTTCATCTCTGACCGCTCTCGAGCGGGTGGTGGCCAGCGTGTGGGAGGCCGGGAGGGCGAAAGAAGCGAGAGGGAGCGAGAGCGAGAGCGAGATTTGCCGCATTCGACCTTTCTCGCCCTGCGAGGATGTGCTGAAGCGGACAGGAGTGGGCCCCAACGATCACTTCCTAGCACTGGGAGGGCATTCCATGTCGGTCCTTCAGGCTGGGGTCTGAAGTCTGCCGGATTGTTGAGAGTCTGCCTCATGCTAGATGGCGGCGAAGCGATTCTGGCGCACACGGTTTGATGCTTCATGCTGCCGCTTGTCGAATCCCAACCCTACTGGGGGTTGAGCCTCTTTAAAGTTAACGACGCTGATCATCGCCAATGCTCATGAACTGTTTAGAGAAAGGGTTGTGGAGGACTTGATTTCAGCTACAGCTTGTGGTGCTCGCTCGTGATGATGCCCAGCTGGTGCTCGTGATGCTTGCCTGGCGTAGGATTTGCGAAAAGGACCGGGCAACTGGTGCTGAAGCGACCAGGCATGCAGTGCGCCTCACTGGCGGCCACTTTGCAGTTTTCCACGTAGCCAGGTTTCAAAGGCCCGCGCATCATGCTGTCAAAGCTGACCGAAGGCTTTTCTCCCAGGGTGAGCGTTATGAGCATTGAGCATCAGCCGCAACAGCAAGTTGCCAGTCACAGAAACTTTATAGCCTGGTCGACCGCCCGGCCGCTTGGGGAAGGGCTTGCTGCAGCTGATGCTCATCTGGCCCCATTCTCAGCACCGATCAGTCTGCCCAAACACTTGCTGCGAACCGATGCCAATGTTCAAACCGTTGTTGCAATCTTGCAATCGCATTCGGGGTACATGGTCCTGCTGGTTTCAAGGGCTTTGCTTCACGTCCACTATTGTTATGCCAATGCTCCCCACAACAGACGCAAACAAACACGCCGTCGCCTCCTGAAATGTAGCAGACCCAACGCAAACCAGTTGCACACAACTCGGCGAAAGTAACGAGCAGACTCGTTGTTTATACTTATAACTTCTCTTGATGGTTGAGGTCTTGCTGTGCCACGGACACAGCTACGGCACAATCAAGCTTCTACCTTTTCCACCGTTTACTAGTTCTGAACGAGTCAGCTGCTGCTTTCTCAAGCGGCGGCGGTCAAAGCGGAGAACCGGTGTTACCCGGTAAAGTCTTTAGAACTTTGGAGGTCTCCCGGCGCCTCGTTGCCTTGGCCGCTGCCGCCGGGCAAGATGACCGAGGCTTAGGAGAGCCTTTGAATGGGAGAGACATGTTTGAGAGATGTCGGGATGGGACTCAAGGGGATGTGGAATGATGTGGGCGATTTGTGTGAATTCATGTGAATCCCGACCTTCCCAGGCCAGTCCTGCAAGTGCTTTGGGCATCCTGCTCTCACCGGAGAAGCTGATTCACTCCCCTCGCCTGCGCATCTACTGCCAGATGCTGGCACGCGGGGGCGTCCGTTTCCCGGGCGCCGATGCTGCTGATGCACACATGGGTGATGAGAAGGTCAGTGAGGACAGAAGTGAGAGTGCTTCGGCTGATGCGTGTTGCGCAGTGGACCTGGGCGCCTTAAAGACAATTGGGGTGCACAGCAGAAACGAGCGAAAAGGACCATCGTATGTAACCAACAGAGGAGGATGCCGCGGACCTCCGCATCAACTACGTGAAGCACAAGGTCCAGCGCGGTGGCCAAGATCCTGAGTTGGACCATGGCGCCTGGGAGCAAGCCGCCCGGCTGAGCCTTGGAATCCTGAAGCTACAGTCACTCAGTATACAGGATGCACCACTCAGAGCACCCCAAACATTGGGACATCCTGGGTTGCGGGGTGGGGGGGTGGGGGTGGTATTCGACCGCACAGGTTCCCGAAGACAGACCGGAACAACTGCTGTGCGCCTTGCCTCCTTAGTTAAACGGGGTCCTTCAGCAACTTTGGCGGCCAGGAGTCATCCCCAGGAGCTTTGTAGAGATTGTGGACTGAACATAGGACTGACCCCCAAACGTAAGGCCGAGCAGCAGAGGCTGGCCTGGTGCCCTTGGTCCGCCTGCCCCCTGACGTCTTTCAGAACCTCCCTTTGTTTCCTTTGTTTCGTTTTCACTCAGGGCCCATTTCTGGCATTGCAGTGGTAGCTCCCAAAGAGAAACCGAGGCTCCTCCAGGAAGGGGCACCCGTGGAGGGAGGCCTGGAAGCATGACACGTGCGCTGCCAGCAAAATGCCTCCCATGCTCAGAGGCACCTTGGAAGGACAGCACGCAAGGCATGGCTCTACACCCCTCATTCTTGCCGCAACCTTACTGGGTGGGGCATGGCGGGGACGCCAGGTAAAGGACTGCATCCCATGTCCCATAGAGTCTGGCAGCGTCCTGCAGGGTATTGCGGCTGCTTTCCTTCGATACCTGAGGCAGTCATGGGAAACCACGTCTGTTGCGCAGAAGAGCTGCTCCAGCGACGCGCGCAGCCGCAGCAAAGGGATGTTCCGAGGCTCATGATATGCATAAGATGGCTCTTGAAGCGGAACAGATGTTGCCGCTATGAACAGGGGACTTATTGCAGGAGACTTGAGATAGACTTACTTGAGATAGACTTGAGCTTACTGGTGCTAAGGCTCATGGGGCGCCTGTGCTTCTCAAAGCCGCAGAGCGCTGTGGCCAGCGAATGGTGGAGCTTCTGCTTGAGGCAACCGGGGCACCCCAGCAGTTCAGCCCTGGGTGTCCTTTTGGAGTTAAGCCCCGAAGTCATTTGTAGTATCGTGAAGCACATTATATATATATATATGTGTGTATATACATATATGTGCGTGTATACATATGTACACATATCTATGTCTCTGTGTGTGTATGTGTATGTGTGTCTCTGTACAAACAAATAAGTAAACGAATAAATACATAAATAAGTATACATATATATATATATATTTATGTATCTGTGTGTGTGTGAGTTTATTTATCAATGAAATGACTTATTATGAAAATGAATATGTATATACGGATCCACTTCATGTGGAGCCCCAGCCAACTTTAAATGTTCGGGAAGGCCAGAGCCGATGCTGAGTCGAGCGCGCGCGCCCCAGAGAGAAAAGCGAGCACATCCTCAAAGTTACGGAGACAAGGAATTTCAGTTTGAGTGAATCAGAGTCAATTAGAGTCAATTAGAGTCAATTCCGCTTGCCCAAGAACTAGGTGGTTGTTCGGAGGACACCGCGAGCCGCAGCACGGCTCTCCACGCTGCGGCCAAGGCAGGCAACCCTGCAGCCGCCCAGGCCCTCCTCCGAGGTGACGTGGGTGGACAATGGTGGACACGTGGGTTTCCAGCGTTGATCCGTTTCACAAAGCTGGTAGGCTTTGTGGTTTTGTTTTCGCTCTGTTCGAGTTTGCACAAAGGTGATGCTGGAGTTGACTGGCTGGATCGCTGGAATCGATCAGCATTGCACTGGGCCGTCTTTCACGGCCATGTCGACATTTGTGAGGCGCGTCTAAATTCTCGGCCTCCTCGATCTCCAAGAGCATGGTGCTGTGCCAATATGTAGTCGGCACATAGCTTAGGCGTGTGTGCTGAGGCATTGGTGGGGGCTGGTGCCCGAACCTCTGGCACTGTGGGCGAGCGTGCTGGTCGCTTTTTCATCGCCCCCACAGCTTGTGGAAATCTTCCCCACCGGGTGCCACTTGCCAGCAAGAAGCTGGCTAATACATCGCAAAGATAAAGGCTTGGTGAGTTCATAGAGCTCATTATTGCTGTCACTGTGCGAGGCTGAAGCAGGCTGCAAGCTTCGTGACGCCGCAGGCCCTGGCAGAGGAGCGCTTCCCCCAAGGCGGGGCCATCCGCGACTTGCTGACAAGGCGCACAGACCGAGGCCAAGCGATGCCAGCAGGTTACACATGAGGAGTCGAGGTCGAGTTGGGCCAAGAGCAAACCCACCAGACATCCATGCACTACATCGAGAGAGACAAGAGAAGTGGAGCTCCCAGCCATTCTCTGCGGAGACGGCGGCGCATGAAGATCGGAGGGTGTGGCATGCTCATCGACCACAACTTGCTCCAAACCACGCTGGCCACGTGCTTCCAAGCTTGGAGAGAATGCAGCTGGTTTGACGGCCAAGGAGAGCACGGAGTCCGGTGAAAGTCCATTTGGTTGGGTGGAAGCACGCAAAAAACTCGCTTTGCAGGTCTGCTGTAGCTTGCTCTCTTCTTCTCAAGTTCTCGCCCTACAATGTCGTGTTTCGGGCGGAAAATCCTCTGTTTCTTGCAGCCTTCCAGCATGGCTCAAGTCCCTTCTCCTCGTGCAGGGGGTTGTGGGGTCCTGAGTCCTTAGGCGACCAAGCTCCAGCTTTTGCTTGAATTGCCTTCGCCTGCGATTCGAGAGGCCTGCTTCGGGAGGCCTATGAGTTCTTCCAAACCTTCTTCAAAGTCTTCTTCAAAGGCCAGGTCAGATACCTTCGAGGAAAGCTTGCGCTCTCTTTAGCCTTTTTTTAACATTCAGGAGCTTGCGCCGCTTGCGCCCCAGGCCCAGTTGTGGCTTTGGCCTTCACCAATTGAGCATGCTTGGACCCATCGGTCTCTGCCCAATTTCATGTTGAGGCCGACACCTGCTGAGGAAGATCCAGAAGCAGAGGCGCCATCTCTTGCATTCTCTTGTCATCCTCACCTGCGGTTGCTTCGGGACAATGTCCAGGAGCGGCGGTTGCGGGAAGAGGCCCAGACGCAGCCCACGACCCCATGCCCTACGATGCCCTCACCTTCACCCTTCTTTGCTGTTGCCACAGCTGTCATCGACACAGGAAAGACTCCGTCAAGAAGAGGCGCGCCTGTACACATATCACCTTTGCATATATTTACGTACATGTTGCAGCTCAAGTCAGCTAAGTTGCTGAAGCGGCTGGAAACCTCCGGCAGCATTTGTGCCGGAATCGCAGGCCAGCCCTCCAGCAGAGACCCTGCACAATCTACCCATTTGTGCCATCTTCTACGGATTTCAGGCGCGAACGGCCAATGCCATGGCGAGATGCTCCTCCTGGAGGACTAGCCAACGGAAGCTCACAAGCGCACATGGTACAATGGTACTCCCATGATGGGAATCATGTGTCATGTGCCGGGTGTCAGCGCAGCAACATGCAGCCATTAGTTGTGCGACCCAGGCGGAGGACTGCCGACGTACTTTTTGGGTAGCTGCGGGCAAACGTCAGCCGAGCTTGCTTGTTTTCTGAGCGAATTGCCGTGGGCCGGGCCGGTTACCTTTTTTGAAGTTTGGAGATCCACTTTTCGCCGCATGTCATCAAAGAACGATAGAGGCCTTCGGAGGTGTGGTCATCGGGTCCTTCCCTGGCTCGGGCCTGAGTTCCACGGAGCTGAAAGAAGTGGGCGAGTCGCGGCAAGTCATGACGCGCCGGTCCAGGCATCGCCGCGGTGGAACTGCAGCGCGGCTGACTCAGCGTAGCGCCTTTGAGCCTTTGAGCCGTGTCGAGCGCCAGGACACAGCAGTACACCACACGTCAGGCTGCATGTTTGGGAGATGGGCGGATTCTGGTGGCCTGGAGCTCACATCAGACCTTCGGCACAGTGTGGCATGGGACTCGTGAGAAATCATCGAAAACTAAGGCAGGCCGACACAAGTAGGACAAACGGAACTGCACTTTCAGCAAAACTTGCTGGACTTGCTGCAAGGTCGGTGGCTTTGACCAGTTTGGTTTGGCCGTGGACACGACAGAGTGCACCTTCCTCGCTTGAGAAGGGGCCATTCCACCGAGTCCTGCATGCGCAGCACACAGAGTGCACACCAGATCATACCACCGTTACCACCCCATCTACGGGGCGCGCAGGGTGGTCGATATCGTGTCGGGAGAAGTCTCCCTCGGGCCCCGCCTGTCGCAAGCCCAGAGAGAGTCGTGTTAAAGAATCTTGGAAAGACCCGAAGATGACCAGAAGATGTCTGGAATTGTGCTAAGAGGCTGATGCCACGGGCCGGGTGCGCTGCCGTTGCCTTGCCACTTCCTGCCCAAGACGAGGAACCAGAGCTGGCCGCCTGGAGAGTGAAGCGTGATCCATTGATGCCGAACTGATGCCTGTTCTCCGAATTCGAGTTTTCCACTAAAGCCAAGGGAGGAGGAGGAGGAGGAGCCGGATTGGATGCCCTGGGCAGCGGGCTCAGCTTGGACATCGGTCCCAGATGCTCGACCTTTCTGTTGCAATCGTATGCAACAGCAAAACATGCCCTGAACTCCCCTTAGCCCTATATGAGACCCTAAGAAGCTCGTCGGCTGAAGGTCATGGTGATAGGCGGCTACGGCGCAGACGCTGGACAAACCACCGAGGTGTTGAGTGTTCAGGTCTCGGCCTTGGTATCGTGGAGCTGCGCATCTGAGGATCGAACTCCTCAAAGACCCTTGAGAGGCCCAAAACGCTGGTGGCGAAAGCAGAAGCAGCAACAACAACATGCAAAGCAGCTTGTCAAAAGCAGATGAACTGAGGCGGGCACGGCTCGACCCGGACCAAAGCTCCGTTCGCGGAGGGCCTGCTGCGCTGCCACCATGTCCGCCTCAGGGACGCTTCAAATGGAAAACCATGAAAAGCCAGCTTCGACCAATGTTCTCCAGCTCTTCAGGGGAAAAGGATAGGGCGGGATGAGAGGCTCGGAATGGGCAGGTACGGCGAAAGGCACTTGCTCGTTGCTGGTGGGCAGGGCACTCGGCCATTCGAGCCAGCAAGTGTTTGCCGAAAGCCTGCAAAGTCCGTGCCTGGAAAGCTCAAGTTCTAGGGCTTTTGGCAGGGCCCTGTTTCCGTGGAGTCTCAACCGAATGAGTCGCAAAACCCAAAGCTTTGCCATGGTGAAGACTAGCACCAAGAATTGCTAGCAGCCATCCTGCACAACGAAGGTTTGATGAGACTTCCTGGCATGTTGACCTGCTTATGGCAGCATTCTGACACCTAGTATCTGGAGACTCTGTCGGCTTGCCAGGTTCACCAGTCTCCAGCTTAATATCGACTGACGCGAGGTTAAGCCTGCGAAGCGTGAGTTGCACCAGCCCTCATGGAAGCCCAGGCGTCAACTCCACCGAGATAATTGATTTGTTCGACCTGAAATCAGCGGCGTATGCTACCGATTACAGACAGGAGTGCAACCACCCTGCTCTAGAGTCTGCTGATGAGTGGACTGTCGGACAGTTGCCTTGCTGCTTTGCCTGCTATGAGGGCATCAGTTGCTGCTGTGCTTATGGACTGACTTCCACCGTGAGGAGAACAAACGGGAGAGGCCACGGCTGCTTGTTCAGCAGTCTGTTCGGCAAAGGTTGCTGCGTGTGTGCGTGAAAAGGCGGGCAAGTTTGAACAGCGTCAATGACGACGAGGCCCCACGCTTTCACGACCAACGGATACGACACAATCTGTCTCAATCTGTTACAATCCAACAATCGGCCTCACTGAAGCTGAAGCTTCCACGCACCCCAGCCTTCCAAATACCGCCTTGGCAGCGCTACCATACCTTGGCCTATAGGCTCAAAGCTTCAGGCAGGGTGCAGTAAGAATTTTGTTGGTGCCGTGTCGGCTGCGCCGACGTGATGGCCACAGGCCTTGGCAGAAGCAATAAGACTTGTGTTCAGTTGAGTGATGTTGAGTCTGCCATCTTCTGTACCCTCAGCCAGCCCTCGCCAACACCTAGACCCCGACCCCAGTAGGACCTCTAACGCATGCAGGCCACAAGCTGAAGCCTTGCCAGGCTCACAGGATCGCAGCCGCAGCCCACACAAGGCTCAGGATGCCAAGATCATCGACGGTCGCCGCATTGCTGCGGCCCTCAGCGCTTCGGCCATTAACCGAAATATCGGAACCTCAACCACCCAACTCCAGGGCTCCAGATTTCTGCGCAGCGCTTGCAGAGAGCACAGCATAGCACAGCCATGCCCTGAGGTGAGGACGTGAGGGCAGCCACATCAGAGCTGCAGACGAAGTATGGCGTGACCCCAGGCCTGGCCATCATCGAGGCAAGAGATGACGGCATTGGTGTAGGGTTTAGGGTTTCGGGTTTAGGCTATCATGAGCCCCAAATTTCGCGCTTGAGAAGAGAAAGTGTTTCGTAACCCCCCCCCCCCCCCCAACACGTCGAGCCCTCCACAGCAAGGACCAAAAGCCTTGGCTCACATTTCCGTTTCTGGTTCGTTTCATGGTGGCTGTTTGTGTTCATGCCGCTCTTTTTCCTGATCCTGTGGCACTGTGACTGTTGTGACGGTTGTCCTTCTTCTTGTTCTTGAGTTGTTCACGTTGTTGCTCTCGCCACTATTGTTTTGTTGTTGCTAGCGTTGATCTTGCCATGTCATCGCTATAAACGATAAGCATTGCTGCCGCCGCCGTGCTTGTCATTGTGGTTGTGGTTGTTGCTTTGCTTTCTGCGGCTGCGGTTGCTGCTGCAGTTGGTGCTGTTGGTGTTCTGTTCTTGGTGATGACAGCGGCTATGACAATGCTTGCTTATGGCTGTCAGGTTGGTAATCACAGCTTCGGTCAGCTCATTGACTGCTTGAAGCCGGAAAAGGCGGATGAGCAGAAGATCAATTTGTCCAACTTCGCGGAGCTCAAAGCAAAGATGGCTGAGCGGTGCGGCATGCATGCTCAGATCTTGCGTTTCAGCGAAACTGTGCAGCAAAGCCGCCTGCTGAAGATCATTGGTGACTTGATGGAGGACGTGAACATCCACGGTATCGTGGTGGAGCTGCCTTTGCCACAGCATTTAAATGAAGTGGAGATCTTGCAGGCCATCGGTCCTGCGAAGGACGTGGATGGGCTGTCTTTCTCCAATCTCGGCCGCATCTTGTCTGCGGGTGGCTACAAGTATGGGGCAGAGCCCGAGGCTCGCCCAACTGTACCCATGGGCATCATGGAGCTCCTGCTCCGTTCTCACGCCGCTCGGCAGTGTAGTCCCAATTGTAGGTGTTTCTTAAAGTTCCACTACGCCGTTACTGCTCAAACCCAAAGCCGCCTTCATTCCCCATCCACTCCTAGAGCCCCCGTCCCCTGACAAGAGCAGCAGGTGGAGCTCCACTCTAAGCACGCCGTGGTGTTGGGCCGCTCCAGCACGGTGGGAGCCCCCATCGCCGCCCTGCTCACTGCCCACGACTGCACGGTTACAACGTGCCACAGTCAAACCATCAATCTGCAGGCCCGAATATATGCCAACATCTTCACATTCTAGAGCAGGTCGAAAGCAGAATGGTTTCAATCAAGTGCTTTTCAATGAAAACTTTTCAAGTCGTCGTTTTCAACCCTCATTTTTCCTTTTAGGAGCACGTGCGGCGCGCGGACATCTTGATTTCCTGTGCCGGGCGCCCGGGCCTCGTGCGCGGCGACTGGATCAAACCCGGGGCTGTGGTCATCGACGTGGGTATGAATGCCTCCTGGATAGCATTGTGACAACAGGCCGCTGCTACATTCGTGATGTTAATCATCTAAATCCGCGAGGTCGTCCCTTGCGCACAAAAGGGCCAGCGCATCGTGGGTGATGTTTGCTTCCAGGAGGCTCTGCCCAAGGTCTCGAAGATCACCCCAGTGCCTGGCGGGGTTGGCCAGATATCGTTTGCCATTCTGCTGCGCAACGTGCTGAACTTGGCTCGGCGGGCCATGAGCCTGACACGGATAGGAATTGGCCCCAGTGGCCATGAGATGTTCAGGTGTGCCGACACATTGCGATATCCCGATATTGGATTGAAGGTTCCTCGGGTGCTTCTGCCTCGCAAAGGCCTAGACCTGACAAAGTGGTGCGTCATCGCATGCGACCAGTACACATCTCAGCCGAAGTATTGGGAAGAAGTCAAGGAGCTGGTGGGGGACTCGCCTTCTACCCTCAACTTGATTTTCCCGGAGGTTTACCTGGGCGATGCAGCAGCAAACCAGAAGAACATCCGCAGAATCAGGGACAGGATGCACGAGTATGACAGAGACCGAATTCTGGTTCCGCAACACCCCGGTTTTGTCCTCCTTGATCGGAAGACCCCCAATGTTGCCAGCCGCTGCCTCAGCTTCCTTTGGCACGTGTGGGATCGAGCTGCGGCTCCAAAACGCCCCACAAACATGCATACACATGCCACGGAACTTTAGGGCCTTTAGGGTCTATGGTCGGCAAATACCTTACACTTCAAGCTGTGCAGGTCAGCTAGGCAGGCGGCAAAAAATCGGAGCGCACCGAAATGTCGAGCTCGAGCTCGAGACAGCCAGCGCATGAGCATGGTGAGGGTGAGTCATTTATAACTTGAACGACACGAGCGAAATGTCCGAAGAGAGGAATACAAGCTCGAGAGTCGGATTCTGGGGAGATATGGAGATGCTCCAATTCTTGCACCTCTACAGTGCAGAAACTAAATCTACGGTGAGTTGGCCTTGTCAAATGAATTTCAGGTGCGAGCCAAGACAGGCCACATAAGTTCTTTGAAATCGTCAGGCTTTCCGACTCAGGAAAGTTTTTTGTGCGTTTACGGAGGGGGTTTTGCGGAACTCCCGGGCTTCCTGCTGTTGAAGGGGTCCATCATTCCAGATCTTCAGAGAGGGAAACAAACAATCTGAATTTCTGGAGTTGTGCGCCTCTGACAATCTGGAGTTCTGGGTCTTATTTTTTCATTTCAAGTGGCGACAGAAGGGCCGGGGTGGGGAGGGACGTTGTACATGCATGTCTGCAACGTCTGTAGGCATGTATCGTGGTCGGCACATGTGCTTTCCTTCCCTCCCTCACCTTCCCTCCCTCTTTGATTCTCGTCGATGTCCAGTCCAAGGTCGCAAGGGTTTGCTGGTCGCCCTGGATCTTGACATGTACAGCTTTGAAAAGGGCTCCCAAAGCATAATCCGGCCCACGGAGCGACTCGTTTGCCAAAGGTTACTTGTGTGTTCGCGATTGCTGCAAGCATGCGCAATTGTTCACAGACGGAGGAAGACCATTCCTGAACGACTTCCACCTCGCATTGCCATTCGTGAACAGTCTCCACTCGAGCTGCCTCACATCCTAGTGCCAAGCTGAAGTATGAAAGCTGTGCGGTAGTGCAAGCACCATGCCTGGCACTGGGTCTTCTGGAGATGTGTAAAGCATCAAACTAGCCTGCATGGTGTACAGTAGGTGCTCATTGATGACCCAAAGAAGACTGTGATTGAACCTTTGTTCGAGCGTTGTGGTGACTTCCCCAAGCTCTACGATGCCTGGCATGCAAAAGCGGGGGCTCGTGGCGACGATTTTCCGGGATTCTAGAAAAGGCTTGAGTCTTCTCCAAGCAGCGTTTCTTGAGGACTTCGACCTGATGAAGGGAAGTGGACATCTGAAGGGATTTCACGTGGCGCGGCCACCTGTCTGCAAGTCTTCCCCCCCCCCCCACCACCCCACCTCCAGCCTGTTGAGACTCTTCGCTTGGCAGCTTCTCCAGGAGCGATGCAGTGGAAGGCGTGGTGCGCGCGCTGCGAGCCCTGGCCTCCCGAGAACTTTTTGAGGAGCGCTATGGTGCCTCCAAGGATCAGGATGTCATTCTTTTCCCAGTGCCCTGGTCAGCCATGGCATGTGCGAGTTAGGGATGAATTCGGAGATGCAGGGACAGTGCGTTAGGCTGCTAGGCCCCTAGGCCCCTAGGCCCTCAATCCAGAATCCGTCCTTTGCTTGGCTTTCGCACTTTTGCTCGCTGACAAAGGTTGGTGATGGGAACCATTCCCTCGCCACCGCCAAGCAGTGCTGGGAGAATCTCAAGAAAAAGGGCGCGGATCCC